GACGGATATTAAATCCCATGGAGAGTGTGCAGTGAAGTGCAACCAAGATGATAGTTTCTTTATGAGGAAAGGCTAAGAAGGGTGAACCTGCTTGTACTGAAATACAGACAATGCTGAAATACCATATGAGGGTTTGATAGAATAGACTAAAATAGGATGTTTTCACTGAAGGACACAGACTAAAATGCAGGCAGGTTAGAGTAAACATTCAGAGCTGGTTCACTTTAAAGAAGGAGATGGAGAAATAGATGAAGCTTCATTTATATCTCATGGGATTGCTCAGAGGTGCAAGATTATTGGGGCAGGATTATAGCACAAATTATGTGAGTTGCTGGATTTAGCCTCCCTAAAACTCACATATGTTCCAGTTAGATTTCCCAATTAGTGGTGTGGCTTTTCAGAGAATAAATTTTACAACATATTTGCTAACAACATAGTAATTATTACCTAGGATGGAAAAAGAAAGCATTCCCTTTTGTTAAAACTTGCTACACTAGAGTTTGGGGCATTGTGGTAATGGAAAAAAAATTCATCAAAATAAAACTCAACAAGCAAGAAAAATAATAATAATCAGTGCCCAGTCATGAGACTGCATGCCCAGGAATAGAAGTCAGGGGGCATAAGAAGCCTCCTTTGCCTTGGCTCGCCACATTCCCAGCACCTTGCTGGACAGCTACTCCCCTTTATGCACAGGTGTGTGGGAAGGCAGGAGTGGGAAATAGGCAGAGTCTTGGCTCTGCCCTGCAACATGCAGCTGAGCCAGTGTAAAGGGAAATGTAAGCTACCAAAAGGGCTGGTGCACATCACTTCAGCAAGGGGGGAGCAGGGACCAGATTGTGACTCTGAGTGGCCACAAAGGTGCTGTAGATCACCCTCAGAGAATTCCCCCAATGTAGACGAAAGTTCCCTGGCAGGTATAGAGTTTTCATATCTGACTCTGCTTCACCTCTCCTAGAAGCCCCTGGTGCATGATGCAGATCAGGTTTGTTCCCCGGGGAAATGAGTGTTGCCGGAACACTGCTACACTCCAGCTATACAATGGCCTATGGGGGCCTTTTGTAGATGGACATAGACTCAGGCAACCCACATGCTGATCTGACCTGTGCAGGGGGCTGCACTGACTCTTAGCAAGCCCCAATATAGAAGAGGAGCAATTTCCACCCCTTACTTCCAGTTCTGTGCAGCACTCAGGTCAGATACACTGGTGTCCTGAGCCCTCGGTCACTAATTTTTCTTTATTTTCAATGTAGCACAAGATAGAGTCATTATTTTACATTTTCATAAATACTTATGGGTAGGGCCCTACCAAATTCAGTCATTTTCGTCAATTGCATGGTCAGAGGATTTTTAAAATAATAAATTTCATGATTTCAGCTATTTAAATCTGAAATTTCACAGTGTTGTAACCATAGGGGTCCTGACCCAAAAAGAGTTGGGGGGTGCAGTACTGCTATGCGTGCTTCTGCGATGCTGCTGGCAGTGGCGGAGCCTTCAGAACTGGGCGGCCAGAGAGTGGCAGTGCCAGTGGCTAACCGGGAGCCCAGCTCTGAAGGCAGCACAGATGTAAGGATGACATAGTATGGTATTGCCACCCTTACTTCTGCGCTGCTGCCTGCAGAGCTGGGCCCTCAGTGAGCAGTTGCCACTCTCCAGCCACCCAGCTCTGAAGGCAGAACAGAAGTAAGGGTGGCATTGCTGTGACCCCCACCCCTGCAACTCCCTTTTGGATCAGAGCCCACAATTTGAAAAACACTGGTCTCCCCCATGAAATCTGTATAGTATAGGGTAAAAGCACACAAAAGACCAGATTTCATAGGGGGGAGACCAGATTTCGTGGTCTGTGACGCGTTTTTCATGGCTGTGAATTTGGTAGGGCCCTACTTATGGGCCTTATTCAACAGGCAGTGGGACTGGCAATGATTTTAATAACTGCTTACTTGAAGCATATCTATAAATGTGGGGGAAACTACTGTTTAAATTTTCCCTGACACAAAATATCAACAACAGAGAGTCCTGTGGCACCTTATAGACTAACAGATGTATTGGAGCATAAGCTTTCGTGGGTGAATACCCACTTCGTCAGACGCATGCGAAGCGGGTATTCACCCACAAAAGCTTATGCTCCAATACATCTGTTAGTCTATAAGATGCCACAGGACTCTTTGTTGCTTTTTACAGATCCAAATTAACACGGCTATCCCTCTGATAGAAAATATCAGGTAATTTGTAATATGTTGGATTTAGTTATAGAAGTAAAGAAGACACCGTCTGTCATATAAAGATATTGTATATGTCATGTATTTGGTAACAATAAATATGGCTTTCTGTAAAGTTTTAGTTATCTGAGTTTTAAACTGATATTTGATCATCTCTCTTTTGTTGTAAATATTTACTCACAAAGTATTTATAGTGTAAGAATGACGGCAAAACTCAAATTGACATCTCTGTTGACATTTTCCCCCCTCATTGACAGTGCTTCATATATTGAAGATGATTTATTATGATCTATTCAGCCCATTTTTTTAACCTCCACTCTATAACATTCTTAAAATTATAGTGATATTCCCTTCAGGGAAAGAATAATACATATTTTCCCTGAACTAATAACCTTTTCAAGTTCTCTTCCTTTTTTCTTCCAGTGCAGTGCTGAAGTTGTGACAGGTAAGGAATTGCCAGGAGATGAACTGACATTATAAATGTCAGAGGTTAGTACAGGTGTAGGAAAGAGAGAAGCTGCCAACAAAGCAAGCAACATTTTTGTGGAAACATTCCAATTATATCTTTGTTGAGCACAACAGTCCTATTGCTGGTCTGCTCATGCTTTCAGAACTAAAAATAATAAAGGACATTTGAAAAGGTTACACATTTGGCAAAACTATGTATTATGCCTTGCCTAAAGGGAATATTGCCATCTATTACAAAATGTTACTGTCCTAGCTTAAAAAGGAAATTGTGTGCTAATAAATTATCTCTCAGTGTATCTCCTTATCCTTCTGAAGTAGCACAAAATGAAACCCCAGGCTTGAGTCACAAGGCAAGAGGTGTCACAAAATGACACTCATTGAACAAATGTTCTGTGAAACAATGCATTCGCTTATTGCAAATGTTGCATAATGTTCAGGTAGAATTACAAAACTAGAAATGCTAAGCTTTAAAAATATTGTGTGTCTGACAAAGCCCCAATGCTTTAAAATACTTTGAAACCAAAACAATACAAGGTCAGCTTCTTACACTGTAGACCTCAAATTATCTCCCTCCCCCTACCCTTGTTTCATTAAGATTTGAATTCCTTCACACAAAGCAATAACATTAGTTTCTGAAGTGGTTTTAGAATCATTCCCTGGAAATGTCTTTTGTTAAAAGGAGGGCTCGTTGCAAGTTTCACTGTCAATAGAACAGAAATGAATCTACAAGCAGGATTAGAAGACTTTTTGAAATACTGTTAAATTTCTCATAGAAGCAAGGCTGTAGAATGTGGCTTTGCACTGATTTCTCAAAAACAATGGATGGGAATTTTACTCTTCTAAAGGGCAGAGAATTGCAAGTTATTTTGTGAGCACAAGGCAGAATCAGTGAACAACTATTTTTCATATTGTGAAAATGAAATATTTTGCAAATTGAGTTCTGATTTTGCAGCCTTTATATGAATACTCCTAGTGAGCCCTAGCCTTTGTATGGCTGTATATTTATACTGTGCTCATCAGCATGGTATTTGGGCACCCAATATTGCACCTCCAATTCATGAGTGCAACTCCTGTAGGCCTAGGGTGACCAGATGTCCCGATTTTATAGGGACAGTCCCGATTTTTGGGTCTTTTTCTTATATAGGCTCCTATTACCCCCCACCCCCGTCCCGATTTTTCACACTTGCTGTCTGGTCACCCTATGTAGGCCTCAGTTGAGGAACTGAATCTATGTATGGGCCTGATCTTGTAACCCCTTACCCACATGAGTAGTCTTTACTCAGACAATCCCACAGAGGTGTCTCCTAAGGATGTGATCCTATGAGATTATGGGTGCTTCCTATGAGGAATTCCTGTGGAATCTTGTGGACTAGAGCACCTTCTGTTCCTTCTGGGTTCTGACAACACTACTGAGTCTAATGACCTCAGCTCACAATACTCATCTGAGTAACAGCTGCATGATCAAGCCTTAGGAAAGTAAAATACAAGCAAATTCATCAGCTCTTAGGAAATCAAGCAAAAATTTTCATTGCAAATATTTCATACAAAATTATTTGAAAATTTTCTGATTTGCTGCAAGAAAATGTCCCCCTCTTCCCCATTTCTAATTTGACTGTGTGCTTATTGTTTGATGAAATATCTCTAATAAGCAGTTGGACATTGTCAAAGGATTTACTACATCAAATAATTGTTTTTGAGAATTTAGGCCAGTTAATTAGACTGTTTGCCCTCAAAGAGCTCACAATTTCCCAAACTATCAATCTCTTATTTTTATATAACACCATTGATATGGTAGGGTGCTTTACCAGGCACATGGGAAGATGAGTTAATAATGTACAGCTTAAATAATATTTGGATCACAGTATTTATAACACTAAAGGTCTGATATCCTCTTGTTCTCCAAGTACTCCCTCTTCCTTTAAAATAACATCCAGATTTTTTGTTTGTTTCTAGCCCCTGCTGCATGTATATTTCACATTAAGAGGTACATGTGTGTGCTATTTTTGCAATGCTGCTCCTTTGCCCATCTGCACTGCTATAATAAGGCTGCTGTGAATATTATACAATTTGGTAAAAGAATGCACACATTCTCACATTGAGTAGTGCCTTACTCCATAAATAGTCCCTTTGATTTCAGTAAGTCCACTTGAGGAGAAAAATTCTTAGTGAGACTGGTGGTAGACTCTCTTCCTATGTGAACAAAACCACTGGCAGTTCTAAATGGAAGTAGTGTTCAAAAACAAACTTCGTTATGGCTCCACTGCCATCTAGTGACACAATAAGAGAAATGTACTTCATTTTATTTTATTTTTAAAGATCAGCATCTTCATGACCCATTTGTCCAACTATGGGAATGATCGCCTGGGGTTGTATACCTTTGTGAATCTCGCCAACTTTGTTCAGAGCTGGACCAACCTGAAACTGCAAACTCTGCCTCCAGTCCAGCTGGCTCGCAAGTACTTTGAGCTCTTTCCTGAACAGAAGGACCCTCTCTGGCAGGTAGGATTATAAAAGAAGAGATGAACAGAGAATATTTTTGTCTTATTTGTTTGTGAAGAATTTTGTTTTAACTTCCCATCAAACAAAATGGTGATACTTAATAGTTTCATAATCACCTGCTGAATTTTAAAGATTAAGGTAATTGTTTTCTCCTGTCATTAACAGATTGTCTTAATCTGCATCTAAAAAGAGAGGACAATTTAAAGATATTAGGCATTTGTTTCTCATTTTATTGCTGACTGCACTTGATATTTACAAATACAGTAAAGACTTTATTGTGTAATTCTTCCCATATCTTGGGTTATTTTGTAACTAACAAGAATGAAGCAACTTAAACATCTTTTAAAAATAATTGATCTTTTGCCATTAAGGAAATTGTATCTCTTGCCATGTGCAGTAGCAGAGGAGTGTATCCTACTAACTGGAGAGAGGATTAAGGCTTACTGGTGCCTAGACACTAGTACAGGGGTTGGCAACCTTTCAGAAGTGATGTGCTGAGTCTTCATTTATTCACTCTAATTTAAGGTTTCGCGTGCCAGTAATACATTTTAACATTTTTAGAAGGTCTCTTTCTATAAGTCTATAATATATAACTAAACTATTGTTGTATGTAAAGTAAATAAGGTTTTTAAAATGTTTAAGAAGCCTCATTTAAAAGTTAATTAAAATGCAGAGCGCCCCGGACCGATGTCCAGGACCCAGCCAGTGTGAGTGCCACTGAAAATCAGCTCGCGTGCTGCCTTTGGCTCGCGTGCCATAGGTTGCCTACCCCTGCTCTAGTATGACTGGCCTACTAGAAATAGATTAAAAAGTAATTCACAAAAAGGGTGGGAACTGGCCAAGGAAGAAATTTACCAATACTGGGCCTAATTTATTGATGGTATCAACTCCATTGATTTAATTATTTTTACTTAAAAGTGAGCAAACTGAAAATATCAGGATGTGATTACCATATGCTGCAGTCTGCACTGACCCTGGAACTGACACATATTCAGTGAAAAACCTAATCATTACACCACGGTCATTGAAGATACAGAAAAACAACTGATGGAACTAGTGAACATTGCAGAGTTGCTTGTGCACAAAATCGGTGACAGTTCAATTATTCCAGTGTACTATTTTTCTTTAGTGTTGAACTAATCTTACACATTAAAACTAAAGCTGCCTAAATATTGTAGAAAATTGACTCTGAATATTCATTCTGACAAATGAATTCACTTTCAGTGTGATCCTACCCCTTTTTGGTTGGCTTTGCAAGAATATTCCTAAGGACAAGCTTTACTAAAGCAAATATCCTCAAAAGGCACAATTTAAACTTGAACACTCAAATGTTTTCCAATAGCGGATTTTGAATTACATGCCTAATCAATAAGTGTGAGTGTCAAATTTAAAATTTAATACTTTAATACACAGCTTGAAATTCACACTGCTGTTATTTAGTTAAATAAAACATCTAATCAGAGAAGAAAAACAATGCCATGTGACTTATGTAACAAACTGAGCATGAATTTCATAAATTTGCAATGTACTGTGCCTGAATGACCTGCAGATTTAGAATTATTTATTGAAAAAAATTGCAAATAATTTTGAATAAAAAGTACTGACAGTGTTGCAGTTTGTTTGCATACAATTCATATGAAGTTCCTTGCTTCTGCTTTAAAACATTTGCACTAAATTGTAGCTGCCAGGACATACAGTGTTACTATTCATGTTACAACAAATTATATTACCAGCATATTTGTTAGTTTTGCTGGTGTAATCCAGAAGATTCTTAAAAAAAAGGGCAGGGGGGAATCAGACTTCTTTTAGGCTTATCAGGTATATATTGCTAAGCAGCAGAACTAAGACCGATCTGCGTACACAAGCAGTATTTTGATTTCTCCTTTATTTAGTGACAGTACTAGGTTCCACCTTATGCCCATATATGAAAGTGGTAGCAAAATGAACCCTAGTATGACAGTCTTTTTGCATGCTATTAAACACCTGCATATTTTTTACTTTGAAGAGTGTAGTAGGCTGAGCATACACTCTTTATGCCAGTTGGAGATGCACAGAAATTCTGGATACCTACATTTGAATGCAGAGGATCAAAACAAAGTTTTAAATCTGTAATCAGCCACTCATTCATTTTAAAAACTGCAGCCTGTCTTAGGGTCTTAGCTGTTATATAAGGGTAAAAGAGAATGAATTGGCAATTAGAGAACGTCATTAGTGATTTAAGTACAATTCCATTTTTATGCAAGTGATCAAATTGCTCATTTTGAATGGTTCTTACATCTAAAGTACAATGGACCAGATTCACTCTGGGCATAATTCCACTGAATGCAAGCACCAGGAATGGATTTGTCTGTTAAACCAATGTCTGTTTTGAACTTGGATGGATATATACATAGAAGGAGATCACAGTGAAAACAACATTTTTTTTAATACAGTTGCTTGAACGTTCCTCTTTACACAGAGATGAATTCAGAGCGGCTGTTCTCTGTTACATTGTAGATCTGGAGTAAATCCATTTACACCACTGTAAGTGAGATCAGAATTTGTCACATAGCATATTGGTATCCATAATAAAGGAGCAGATAACATTTCCTACTACGATTTCTTGTAGACCGATAGCTCCTTGAGATTTATGTACGTAGGGCAAAAACTGAACAAATATAATTACAAATAAAATTCTCAGATATTGCTTTTGTCCTACTTAGAATCCCTGTGATGACAAGCGGCACAGAGATATCTGGTCTAAAGAAAAAACCTGTGATCGATTACCAAAATTCCTGGTTATAGGACCCCAGAAAACTGGTGAGAGTTTACTGCATTTTAATGAGTCTGGTGATATGCAAATTCAAATTATTACAATAGAGAATTAGTTTTAATCACTCTGAGCTTTGTATAAACCTTGATTATCTGATAGCACTTTTTATTTTCTGACATTATCCAAGGTACAATAATGTAAGTGATAAAAACATGTTACACAGACAATGTAGATGTAGTGGAGAGTGTTGGATTTTTCATAGGGTTTAACTGAGAAGTGATGTGATTAACACTCTGTTAAACAGATCAAGTGGTGACTGAGTGATTGACAGGATTTTATCAAAGCTGAGAGAGAAAAGGACAGTAATTTTTCAAAACATGTACACAGTCCCATGGCCCCCAAGCTTCAACCTGTCCTACAGGAAAAGTGTGTCTTGTTTACAGCAAGTCAGTGTTATTCAGTGGAATTTACACTGCAAGTCAGAAAATCCCTACAGGACAGGTAGAATTGTAAGTCTGCAAGACTTTATTCATTAAATTTATAGTTGCTTCTCTTTGTGATCAGAAAATGGCACATTTTTTATCTACTCCCTTTCATATGCCACCAACCACCTACTGTTATTATATCTAACAAGAGCTTAAGTGGCTGGAGTTTAAGTCAATCTTTTTTGTGACAACTTCAGCACAGATACAATAATTTGTTTTTAAAATCAAGTTTTAAAAATATGAATAGGTGTATCATCAACAGTGATGCTCCTGTATTCAGTATTAATTGTACAAATTTATTTAAATGTTTTTGGTTAAGAATTATAGGACCAGGATTTCAGCTGGTGTAAATCAGAATAGAATCATTGAATTCAATGGAGCTATGCTGGTTTACACCAGGTGAGGATCTGGCCCACAGAATATATATGCTTTGTTAACCTTTGGACTTTCATCCTATTTTCAGGTACCACAGCTTTGTATTTGTTCCTGATTATGCATCCTTCCATCATTAGTAACTCCCCCAGCCCAAAAACCTTTGAGGAGGTACAGTTCTTTAATAGAAATAACTACCACAGGGGGATTGATTGGTAAGATGGGTTATTAGTATAAATATAAAAGTTTATGTACTGTGCACAATACAAAAATGGCATTACACTTTGTAATGTGTGTCTACACAATTTGAAAATGACTACTACTACCCTTCTAAAATGATATTTAAATACACATAAATTATGGTGGAGGGTAGGGATATACACTGGAGGGTAGGGATAGGATACAGAGGGGCCTAGACAAATTAGAGGATTGGGCCAAAAGAAATCTGATGAGGTTCAACAAGGACAAGTGCAGAGTCCTGCGCTTAGAAGGGAAGAATCCCATGCACTGCTACAGACTAGGGACTGAATGGCTAGGCAGCAGTTCTGCAGAAAAGGAGCTGGGGTTACAGTGGACAAGAATCTGGATATGAGTCGACAGTGTGCCCTTGTTGCCAAGAAGGCTAATGGCATTTTGGGCTGAATAAGTAGGGACATTGCCAGCAGATCAAGGGACGTGATCATTCCCCTCTATTCGACATTGGTGAGGCCTCATCTGGAGTACTGTGTCCAGTTTTGGGCCCCACACTACAAGAAGGATGTGGAAAAATTGGAAAGAGTCCAGCAGAGGGCAACAAAAATGATTGGGGGCTGGAGCACATGACTTATGAGGAGAGGCTGAGGGAACTGGGATTGTTTAGTCTGCAGAAGAGAAGAATGAGGGGGATTTGATAGCTGCTTTCAACTACCTGAAAGGGAGTTCCAAAGAAGATGAGGCTGTTCTCAGTGGTACCAGATGACAGAACAAGGAGTAATGGTCTCAAGTTGCAGTGGGGGAGGTTTAAGTTGGATATTAGGAAAAACTTTTTCACTAGGAGGGTGGAAGCACTGGAATGGGCTTCCTTAGAGGTTTTTAAGGTCAGGCTTGACAAAGCCCTGGCTGGGATGATTTAGTTGGGGATTGATCCTGCTTTGAGCAGGGAGTTGGACTAGATGACCTCCTGAGGTCCCTTCCAACCCTGATATTCTATGATTCTATGGTAACCTCAGTCAAAAACACAGTAAATGCCTAAGATTTTTATCTTCCCTCTAATGCAGCATATAAAGAGATATCTGTTCTAAACTTGAGGCAATACTAAGTAATCTTAATGAGAATTAATGTATGTCTCAGTATGTTAATATACTTAGAATATGTGAATAAGAGAAAAAGGAAAGCAATGTATGTTTCTTAATTATACATCTCTTTAGGGATGATATTCTCATACATTTCTCTGGCAGGTGCTTTGTTTCCTATTTACACATGTTTTTGAAGCTATGACAATAAAAATAATATTATAAATTGAGTATGAGATAGCACGATTAATATTTCAGGTTAAATATCTTATTTCTAAAATACTGAAAAGAGAAATCTAATGAAAATTTCAGCCACAAGCAGTTTGTTCTTGGCTTTAAATGGAAAATAGAAAATGGCCACTCCGTTGTGGGGGAGAAATGCTTTTTTAAAGTATTTTCAAGGATCAGATAATGAGGAAAATATTCAGCAGTCAGTAAGGAAGTAAACAGGGATAAGTGAAGAGAAAAGGCTCATCATCACTACCTTATTCCCCCTGGTTTACCCAAGAAGTTACCAAAGAGCTCGACAAAGATACATTTGGTTGGTCTTGCTTTCAAAAAGTGCTGCAGGGTAAAATGTTCAAAGGTGAAAACCAGTAATACAGCGCATTAAGCAGGGAGCACTGATAAAAGATTCTTGATACTCAGTCTTGTTCTTTACTCTCTGGTTTCAGGGAAAAGTTATTGCCTTAGACTTTTTATTCATCCATAAAATTAATAGTGTAAAGGCTGCTATATGTTCCAAGTGGAGAAAATTCACATAGAATTTATTTTAAGGTCTATGGTTTTCATAGAGTTATAATTGTTGCAGCAGATTCTTATTACAAAGTTCAGTGGGTCAGCATTCATTACTGACTGTGAGAAGTCAGTCTGATGGGTGGGAAATAGCTGACAGCTAACGGATAAAATCTGCTGACTATCCACCAATCACACAGATTCTTAGCTATTTTTATGAAACAGCTTTTTATATTTATGTTAGGTGAAATTCACCCCCTTGCAGAGGGCCAACACAAGATCTGTGCAGTGGGGTAAATTTTAACCATTACAGTCAATCCACTCTAAAGAAGTTACTATATATAGTATTTTATATTGTTAACAACAGGAGGTAAAAAGAAAAACACAAAGACCCAAATTTGTCAATTCCTTTTCCCTCCCTCAAAAACAGTGAAAACTGGTATGTTGGTTGTGGATAGACAAGTCTGATGATAATATGACAGGTTGTTGGCAACTAACTAGAACCACATAACTGGAAGAGGAAAAGCTCAGAACTAAACAAACTAAAAAACAGCCTGCTTTGTTTCCACAAAACTGTGATACATAGAATAGTAATTCAGAGATGCCTTCACCACTTGGAGGACTCTTGCTGAAGAAGTAGTGAGATTTTCTTGCTAAGTTTTTAAGTAACATCTTCATGTTAACAAACTCTTGCCAGATTTGATAACAGGAACCCTGATTCTGAATATTATTTTCTTATGATATTCTGCTCTGGTGTAACTGAAATGCCATCATGTGCTGTAATAGGAATAATAAAGCACATTTTTTATAAATAGCAGTGGGCCAGATTCAGAAGTTTTTATTTTTACTCAGTCTTTACTATTGACTTTGATTAGAGTTTTGCCTGAGTAGAAATGAGTGACTACTTCAGGAACTGGCCCACTAATTTAAAGAGGATAAATTGTTTGTACACCTGTAACACTTTCTTCTCAGTAAAAAAAACAAGGCCTTTCATTTTTGAATGTTTTTACTTGACAATGACTATGTCTGTTATTTTTATGGATTATTCTCTAATATATTTAACATATGCACCCACCCACCTTGCTTTAGTGTATGCAGGACTTTTGAGTAATTCTGAGGACAGTGTTCCTTTTTTAGGTATATGGATTTCTTCCCTGTACCATCCAATGTCAGCACTGACTTTCTCTTTGAAAAAAGTGCCAACTACTTCCATTCTGAGGAAGCTCCCAAACGAGCAGCTTCCCTGATCCCTAAGGCCAAGATCATCACCATTCTCATCGACCCATCAGATCGGGCATACTCCTGGTATCAGGTAGGGACTCTGAAAAATACAGGCAGGTTCTAGTTGTATTATGTATAAAACAGTTTTTATCTGGGAGCCTCTCAATATTTATGTGATTAAATACTGAAAAAACAAAGGGGTCTGATCAGGTAAGCATTTATTTGAAAACCAGTTCATCACGCAACAATTACCTGAGTACAGAAAAAGCTTTCTATACATATAAACTTGATAATCCATTCTTTTAAAATATATAAACACTGAAGGCCATATTTTTCACAACTCTGGCTTTAATATGTGCCTGCAAAAAAAGTGCTTGCGTGAATAACTGCATGTAAAGAATGTGCATTTACACAACTAATTGTGCATCTGAGTACCATGCATGTGAACAGTTGCCCAATTTGTGCTTCCAAATATGAGGTAGGTACATGCAATTACTCATGGTCTAAGTTTTTTGCAGACACAGAATAAGGCCTGAATTTTGAGTAAGGTTAACTTTTTAAACTTTTGTTAAACTGACCGTAATAAAGGAACATATATAGGGGCCTACCAAATTCACAGTCCATTTTGGTCAATTTCACCGTCATAGGATTTTAAAAATTGTAAATTTCATGATTTCAGCTATTTAAATCTGAAATGTCATGGTGTTGTAATTGAAAGAATCCTGACCCAAAAAAGGAGTTGTGGGGAGGTTGCAAGGCTGTTGCAGGACTGCTATCCTTATTTCCGCGCAGCTGGTGGTGGCAGCACTGCCTTCAGAGCTGGGCAGCTGGAGAGTGGCGGCTGCTGGCTGGGAGCCCAGCTCTGAAGGCAGCAGTGCAGAAGTAAGGATGGCATGGTATAGTATTTCCACCTTTACTTCTGTGCTGCTGTTGGCGGGGCATCTGGCCACAGCTGCCACTCTCCAGCTGCCCAGCTCTGAAGGCAGTGCAGAAGTAAGGGTGGCAAACTGTGACTCCCCTGCAACTCCCTTTTGGGTCAGGACCCCCAATTGAAAAATGCTGGTCTTCCCCATGAAATCTGTATAGTATAAGGTAAAAGCACACAAAAGATCAGATTTCACACTCCAACTTAAATCCAATATCAGCACCAAATATTTTTTTAATTACACCCAATAAAGTTTAGTACTGTATTTTACCTCAGAGTTCCATCAATACTACTGAAGTACCATTCTTACCACCATTCTCTTTTTGGCATCATAACAAACAAGCCAGGTTAATGTTGAAGGGGAACTTTGAATATCTTAAACTCAAATTTCAGAGTGGTAGCCGTGTTAGTCTGTATCAGCAAAAAGAACGAGTACTTGTGGCACCTTAGAGACTAACAAATGTATTTGAGTATAAGCTTTCATGGGCTAAAACCCACTTCATTGGATCCATGCAGTGGAAAATACAGTAGGAAGATATATATACATGGAGAACATGAAAAAATGGGTGTTGTCATACCAACTATAATGAGACCAATCAATTAAGGTGGGCTATTATCAGCAGGAGAAAAAAAACTTTTATAGTGATAATCAAGATGGCCCATTTCCAACAGTTGACAAGAAGGTGCGAGTAACAGTAGGGGAAAAATTAGCATGGGGAAATAGTTTTTACTTTATGTAATGACCCATCCACTTCCAGTCTTTATTCAAGCCTAATTTAATAGTGTCCAGTTTGCAAATTAATTCCAATTCTGCAGTTTCTCGTTGGAGTGTATTTTTGAAGTTTTTTTGTTGGAGAATTGCGACTTTTAGGTCTGTAATTGAGTGACCAGGGAGGTTGAAGTGTTCTCTGACTGGTTTTTGAATGTTATAATTCTTGACATCTGATTTGGGTCCATTTATTCTTTTGCGTAGAGACTGTCCGGTTTAGCCAATGTACATGGCAGAGGGGCATTGCTGGCACATGATGGCATATATCACATTGGTAGATGTGCAGGTGAACGAGCCTCTGATGGTGTGGCTGATGTGATTAGGTCCTATGATGGTGTCTCTTGAATAGATATGTGGACAGAGTTGGCAACGGGCTTTGTTGCAAGGATAGGTTCCTGGGTTAGTGTTTTTGTTGTGTGGTGTGTGGTTGCTGGTGAGTATTTACTTCAGGTTGGGGGGCTGTCTGTAAGCAAGGAGTGGCCTGTCTCCCAAGATCTGTGAGAGTGAGGGATCGTCCTCCAGGATAAGTTGTAGATCCTTGATGATGCGCTGGAGAGGTTTTAGTTGGGGCTGAAGGTGACAGCTAGTGGCATTCTGTTACTTTCTTTGTTGGGCCTGTCCTGGAGTAGGTGACTTCTGGGTATTCTTCTGACTCTGTCAATCTGTTTCTTCACTTCAGCAGGTGGGTATTGTAATTTTTAAGAATGCTTGATAGAGGGATTGCAGCAAATGTGGTTGTATCTTAGAGCTTGGCTGTAGACAATAGATTGGGTGATGTGGTCTGGATGAAAGCTGAAGGCATGTAGGTAAATATAGCGGTCAGTAGGTTTCTGGTAAAGGGTGGTGTTTATGTGAACATCACTTATTAGCACTGTAGTGTCCAGGAAGTGGATCTTTTGTGTGGACTGGTCCAGGCTGAGGATGGAAATTGTTGAAATCATGGTGGAATTCCTCAAGGGCTTCTTTTCCATGGGTCCAGATGATGAAGATGTCATCAATATAGCGCAAGTAGAGTAGGGGTGTTAGGAGACGAGAGCTGAGGAAGCGTTGTTCTAAGTCAGCCATAAAAATGTTGGCATACAGTGGGGCCATGCGAGTACACATAGCAGTGCCGCTGACTTGAAGGTATACATTGTCCCCAAATGTGAAATAGTTGTGGGTGAGGACAAAGTCACAAAGTTCAGTCACCAGGTTTGCCTTGACATTATCGGGGATACTGTTCCTGACAGCTTGTAGTCCATCTTTGGACCTATATCCAGATAGCCAATGGGAATTTAATTTAATTTGAAGCAGAGACGTGCAAATCAAACAAGGTTTAAGGAGTCAAGGAAGATTGTGGTACTTATCATCAATGCAGTTAGTTCAAACTTGTTAGAATATAGGCCTGCTTTACTAATAATAATAACAGCAGCACCTTATAGACAAAATTTATTTCTTAGTAAAACCCGATATCTCATTGTAAGTTATTCAGTAACTACTATATAGTATTCCATCATGCAAGTTTGTACCTCACTTTTTGATCCATGAAATAATAAATACAATTATTTTATCTGTCTTTTTTCTATAAGTATTTCTATAATGCCTATCGCTATGCCATCTAGTTACATACATGGGGTGTTTGAAACTGTGGGATATGTCCAGAATGGACCAGAACCTGTCCACTCTGTTCTTAATTGTTGCCTCTTATTTCAAAAAGTCCCTTTCTTCTGTTCTTCTGACTACAATAGGAATTTGACAAAATGAGGAATAAGTAGAAACTGAATAAGGATCTCAGGATCTATATTTTATTTTATGGATTTTCTTTTGTTCCTATAAGTAGAAGTTATCTATCTGATAACCATCAGTGAAAGCTTTGCTGGAGTAAGGTCTGAATATAAATCATGTAAGGACTTCAAGATTTGGCTGCATAAGTAGAGGTTACCATATTTGAGTTCGTTATCCTGGGTTTGTTTATGCATAAGCTGCCATTTCATTAAATGAAAATGTGTGCTAGTTTGCTATGCTAATACTAGTCAGATCTTTTGATAGTTAATAGCAGTGTTATTCTTACTTTCTCAACAATTTATCTAATATAGACCAAGGCTTCTTAACTGAAATTCACTTCTAATGTAATTTAATCAGTCACAAACAAGTCCTTTAGACCATTGCCCACATATATTCTGTCCTATTTCTATGACTCTGGACTCCGGTGTCCATGATGTTCTTGTAACTTACCTTTCTTTTGCAGCATCAGCGATCTCATGAAGACCCTGCAGCTCTAAAATTTAGCTTCTATCAGGTGATCACAGCTGGACCTCGAGCCCCATCAGACCTTAGAGCTCTACAGAAGAGATGTCTAGTACCTGGATGGTATGCCACCCATATAGAAAGATGGCTAACTTATTTTCCAACTTATCAGGTGAATAGAGTGTAACATTGTGTCTTATTTCATATGAATTTGATATCTTAGATTATTCACTTTTTCTGAAGTCTTCATTACTGATTATTACTATTCATGAATATATATGAGTGTGTGGTTTGGGGCGCTGATTATCCAAAACCATGTTCTGATTGGTTGGCGGGGCCTTCTGGTGATGTCACAGCCATGCACTAACTCCTGGCACTGCACAACTGGGACTTCCATCAACAAAAAGCAACAGGAACAGCAACTGAGGAAGCTTCAGCACTGCTGCTCCTTGCACCCCTCTTGCCCACTGAACTGCCTTTAACACTGAGTTGTTTTCTTGTTTTTTGTTTTAATCTTGTCACTTTCTGGCACCCTACTGGCTGGATTGGTGAACCTGTCAGAAACCACAATAGGAAACCCAGTGCTTCCGAGTGCATCAGGCATCAGCCATTTGATACCCCATCAGGACTTCCAATAAAAAGCATTGATGGGAAACCATGATAAATTGCTGGGATGGTGCTGTGTAATGCTTCTGCACTGTGCAGCATCAAAGCATTGGCCAGCATTGTGAAGTATCAATGCATTATCCACCCCTGATGGGATCAAAGGAGATTTAGTGCACTGAACACTGTGAAGACTTGAGGATATAGAGGCTTGAGTGTCTGGAACTGGGTATGATACACAAATAAATAAAGACATAAGGCCCATTAGTCATTAAGTGCTTCAGTGTCTTCATCTGCTCATGAGTTCAGTGGTCCTTCCATGAGCTAATCTTTTCACTGCTCAGTTCACTGGGAACTGCCAGTGTATCACTACCTCTGTGCACACTGGTGCCTCTGCGATCTTTGCCATCACTGGGTTTTAGGATCTGTTGATGCCTAGTCAAGGTCCTCTACCCATCACACCTCTTCCAGGTCTGTCAGTGCATTGTATCACTGCTAGTATATTGGGAGCCACCACTCCCCTCCCAGATCATTGGTGCATGGCTCTGTTGAGTATTGAGAAACCATTTGGTGCATTGGAGGCTACAGCTGGCACTCCTGTCCCTTTGAATCTCTGTGTGTTACACATTGAGCCTCAAAGGGTTTGTGTTTCCCGGTGTGTGCAATTCATGAGACCAAGGTGTGCTTATCTCAAAACAGATATCACTTAATGAACCTGAGAAGTGCATACTCCTGACAAGCCTCTGAAGACACATACTTCACAAGATATCAGTCTGTTAGCTCAAGTGGCAGAGGTCTGTGCTGTGGATCTAAAGGTTCTAACCTTACTGATAAAGCATGTGGGAGTCAATATGGTTCTACATGGTGGAATTTCTGTTTTTCAGTTTGCTTTTTTAAAAATCTAGGAAATTACATACAAAACCACTACTGTAAAAGAACCTTAAGGTTGCAAGGCTAGCACTCAAAAGTTAGGAAATGCCAGAATTAAATTTGACCATGCAACTAATTCGGTACCCTGTGCATAGGAATTATGATACAATCTTTAATTATATGAACACATGCTATTTTTTCCACAGAACTGCTGCCTCACTCAGTCCCTTCATTCACTCGCCAGTCATCCTCCCCTAAACCACTCCCTAGTTCCAGTTCATTCAGCCATCTCCACTAAATCTAAAAACAAGTTATGATCAGAAGTAGAGAGCAGCAGGAAGCTAGGAGAAACTTGCTTTGTGTGCAACAAGCTCTACTTCACATGTGATGGCAACCTCTGATAGGGGGGAAAAACGGTCTTTGAAGAGTTGTGAGTGAACCAGCTCTAGGGTCACAAAAAGCAGCTTTTCCACAGGGAAAATGACTGGTTGTCGAGCAGCCAATCTGGGCCGGACGATTAGCCATCTCCTATCCACTGTGCCCCACAGCAGCTTCAGCTGCTGCTATTCAGTCATGATGGATCTTGGGCACAAGAAGAAATTAGTGTGTGGCAAAGGATGAGAGAGCTGAGTGCTTTCTTCAGCAGTGACCAAAACTGTCAATGAATTGATTGATACTCGGAAAAAAAGAGCACATATATGGCTCAGAATATCTTCCTCTCGTTTTATATGTGGGGGTGGGGGTGTTGCAGCTTATTTTTTCCAGATATATTAGGTTTCATTTTGTCAGGATGAATCTCATTTAATTTCCTGCCGATATTTGTAATCTCACTAGGTGCTTCAGCATTATTTCTCTGTCCTCAGTGGTGCTCACAACAGCTTCCAATATAATTTCATTTCAGAATTAATTAGTGTGTCATTTACCCTTCTCCCAGATCATTAATGATGATAAATAAGACCAGACCTGTTACCATTCCCTGGGGCACCTCTTTTCCTCTTAATGAATGAGCTTGACATAGGTGAAAGTTTGTTTGAAGCTTGAAGTATGATGAATTTTAAATACAGTATTATTTTATTTTTGCAGTTGCTAATTATTGATGGACAGCAGCTGAGAAGTGACCCAGCTACCGTGATGGATGAAGTGCAGAAGTTTCTGGGAGTTTCTCCTCATTATAATTACTCTGAAGCCCTAACGTGAGTTCATTCATAATTAATGTAATGGAATATTAGCAATGGAGTGATTTAAAAAGGAAATAATCATGCAACTGTAGTTTTGTATAAAGAGTCTGAAAAGAATGGGTTGCAATATTCCCTGTAAATTATAATTTGCTGTTATTCATTGAATTTTTGTACATCTAAATATATAATGTGTGTATGTGAATGCATGCTCAGCACTCCTTAGACAAACCTCGGCACCTTGCAAGATTAGGTTGATGAGACATTTGTTGGCTGTAACAAAATGGTGTTGGTTCTATAAGCAAAATCAATACAAATTAATAGCCACTAATACTCCTCTGACTAATTTTGCATGCAAGTCCTATTACTAATGCTACTGTGGGCAACAATATGTATTTTTCAATGTCTTTACCCTCTTTAATTTCCATGGAAAAATCTGGACTTGCTTATGTGCTGATTAGACATGAAAAATACATTTTTCTTTCTTGCACGCTTTCAAACTGCTATCCAAGTAATCGTTAACAACATGTGGAAAGAATGCAACTCAGAAGTTATATTTTCTGTTAATTATGTATTGAGCCAGGCATTAAACATGGTGTTTGAATATTACAGAGATGGACACCTGACAGATAAAACAAGTATTGGTTTGTGAAAATTGTGTTTGGATTTTGGATGGATAAAAGAGAGAGATGCCTTTGCATCTGTTTCCTCAGCAGCAAAAGATTCACCATGCGTAAACAGAATGGACAGAAGGCTGGGTTTCCTTTACATTCAATTACAGGAGACTCAACAATATCAGTGTCAGGAATGTAAAATCTACTTTCTGTATAATAAATACCTATGTACACAAATCCTTTGGATTCAGACATTTAGATTCACTTGCCCTTAAAATAAGATTGATAACCTTAGGCTGCTCTTTTGAATGTGAGCCCATTGTCTGTTTTTATAAGAAGCTCTCAGAAAAGAATTCTTTTCTTTCCTAGACATTTCTCCATTTAATGCTTTCAGACAGTTGTGCTCTGTTCCTTTTTGTGGCGTATGTAGCAAAACAGATTTTATCTTTCATGAGATAAAGTCAAGTGTATTATACAGACATAATGGACCCAATTCATCCCTGGAAGTAACTCTATTGAAAGCTCTGTTTCTTTGTACACCAAAGGCCTTGACCTGGATGCTGTGAATTATTATTCTGCATCTAATTCTGCAACAGGCTTTTCCTTCTTGTCTACCCTTGAACACAGATAATGTTCATTTAGCATAACTGAGATTCAGGCAACTTTTTCCATTACTTTGACCCCAATTCATCCTGGTATAGCTCCATTTAAATCAGTTTAGTTATACCAGTAATGAATTTGGCCCTCTATGTCATTTGGTAATTGATATATATGGTAGAAAATTCCCATCTCTACTTGTACCTACAAAATTGCAATAGTGTAATATGAAATAAAAATATAGGTTATTTATCCAATGAACTCAAAACATTTTACACCCTTTAATTAATCTTCACAAAGCCCTTTGAGATTGGTAAATATTATGCTGCCCAGTTTACAGAAGGTTCGATGGAAGCACTGAGAAGTGAATGGTAGACTAGTAATTGTAGACTCTGTAGTGATGGACATTGTATAAAAACAAACACTTGCCTAATGGCACACAGTCAGTGACAAAGCCAGAAGAAGCCAGGAGTGCTGGTTGCCAGTCTCCTGCTCTACCCATTAGATCATGCTAGAAGGTATTTTCTAGCCGTAGTTTGAGGTTGATGAATTTATCCTTAAAACAAGCTGGCTGGCAATATTAGTATTTCTATCAAGCAATTAAATGTCTTGGGATATCAGTCTTTTTATTAACTGTGGGCTTTGTTTGATGCTATTTTATACTATGATTTGTCATGAATTTATACTATCACTCTGCTGTCACTTGAGAGGATGTTCCTGTGGATGAATTGTCTTTTTTCACAAAACAGCTTTTAATTAACTTTGTGTGAACATTCTGCACCATTGATACTTCAATAAATGCTGTCCCACAGATTAAATTACAAATGTCTCTGTTCTTTAGGGTAGACCCAACTTACGATTTCCCCACCTCTGGGCAGCTCCACATCCTATGATAGTGGATTGTGGGTTCCTTCCATCCACATGCACTGAACTGACCATCTCCAGGAACAGTCAAGGTGGTGCACAGCCATTTTATGCAGCAATTGAAGGCAACTGTACCCCTTACAGATACATAAACTGAGCTGAAGATTTGTCTCTAAGCCTTGAAATGAGAGGTTTTTTTGGTGGAAGACTGTAGTTTTAACCATGCAGATGTTTAACTGTGCAGATATACTCTGGTTTCTGCATGGTCAGATGGAAATTTAACAAAAAAAAATACATAAAATGAATAACACTTCAATAATCCACCTATCTTGGATAATTTAAAGGCACTTTGCTTCGTGATGTACATGGGATCCACTATAATTGTTCACTTCTGGAAATTTGACTCCCATGAATCTTTGTCAATACTTATTGCATATAGTTTCTCATGCAATCAAAACAGGTGTTACCTGTGTCCATGCTACTGCCAAAGCTGTGCTCTTGATCAGTCATGTACAACTCCAATTGACATCAAAGAAGGGCATGATATGGCCCTTGAAATGTGCTCTAAAATATATGATCAGTTCAACCGTGACCAGATACAGCTCCATTGACATTATTTATTAGTATTGTTTGATTTGATCTATAAAAGACGCAAACCACCTATCCAGAGCTCTAGCTCAAACACAGTTCATGTCTGTACACAAACATGTATATTTTGTTCTGGCTTAGTGACTATCCTGGCTGGCTGCATAGAGAAGTCATGTCAAAATAAGCATGTGCATATAATATTGATGCAAAGAGCTCTTAAGATGTGCTTATCTATGCTGTGAATCACTAATTATGCTGGCAAAGAGGAGAGAGGAGTCTAAGTTCAACTCCCACTGGGAGTTTTGACATTGACATTGATGGAAGCAAGATAGGGTCCATATACCTTGTGAATTAAAAATAAGGCACTTTAATGTTAACATTACTGTACAGCCAAAGCCCCTGATAATATCATCACTGTGGAATCTCACTATGAGGTACATCATCACACCTTTAGTCCATTGCTAGACTGACATTGGTGTAATTTCAAAAGCCTGAGAAAATATACTGGGAGCCAGGGGAACCATAGAGAGACTTTGTTTATTTCTCTGGGGTGCCAATAGGTAAGGGAGAAGCCCAGCTGGAGTCCCCCATCTGCAGGTCTGAGCAAGGGCAGACACCATATCTTGGGCTCCGGGCTCTAAGTGTCCACGGGTGGGCTGGCGGAGGAAGAGCAGGGTTCCAAGGGGAGATCCAGCCCTCAGGAGGAAAATCTCTTCACCGCAACAGTAATCATCACAACCCCCTGAACCCAATTGTTTGTCATCATCAGTTTCTGTTTTCTTCAGATTAAACAATGGCCATTCATCCTCTCTAGTGTTTGGTTTACTCCATTTTTCTCACACAACTGCATCACTGCCAGCCTCATTCTTTCTGTCTTCCATGCTCCTCAACAGCCTTTTCTTCCACCTCACTCCTTTCTTCTTCCTGTCTCCCCTTCCCCTACTCCATGCACAGTCTCGCCCATCCTTTCCTTTTTCTGCTGCCTTACTCCTATTAACTTACCCCATCCTGTCCTCCCCCTAGCCCTACTCCTGCTTACCATACTATAGTCACTTTCGGCCTGACTCTGCCATCCTTACTCACAGTGAGGAGTACCTTATTCTGTAAGTAGTCACATAGATTTCCATGGAACTAGTGGACAAATAAAGTACTATTCAAGATGAGTAATGGTTGCAGAAGTTGAGCCTTAGCTTGTATGTTGTATCCCTTTTTCTCACCCTGTGTCTGTCTTGTCTATTTAGATTGTGAGCTCTTCAGGACAAGGATTGTACCTTCTTATGTGGTTTGTAGAGCCCCCAGTGAAATGGGGCACCAATCCTGTACAGCATCTTTGGGTGCTTCTGCAACTTAAACATTAACTATAAATAAAATTAAATAGGGTCTATATGTGCCTAGATTCAATGGGCTCTGTGGTCAGTTATGTGTGCCCTAGAAATCTATAGGGATAGCTAGCTAGCCTGTTATTCTTTATTCTTTCCTCCAAAGAAAAGCATAATTTGCATTAGTGCTAAGGGGTATCCTGCCTGAATAACAAGGAGAAAGTGGACCCGAAATATTAAGTTTGCTGAAGTGATAAAAAAATCTTAGACTGAACATATTTGATCTGTTTGCTGAATTTCAGGTTCGATTCACATAAAGGTTTCTGGTGTCAACTCCTGGAAGAAGGAAAAACCAAGTGTCTTGGAAAGAGCAAAGGCAGAAAATACCCTCCTATGGATTCAGAGGTAAACCATTGTTCTTCTGAGGCAATACAGCATTTGAATGGCTTTTAGGAGTGCCTCACTCACACCCGTGGGACACTCCATTGACAAAATTATAACAAGAACAAGAGGATAAAATTAACAACCTATAGTTTATTTGTACTAACTCTACCTACAGCTGAGGCCTTTCTGATACCATGTACCACATGATGGTTTTTCAACCTTTTGTATAAAGGTTGAGCATAAAGGCCAAGATGTCTCCAAATTAACTTACCCAGAAATTGTTTTTTAAACATTTTCTTCATATTGAAAAACCTAGTTGCTCTCAAAAAGCTGCAACACAGTTAAAATCCCAGCCCCTCAGCTGAGCGACCCACACCAGCAACAAGCTCAAAACGCATGGTTTGTTGCAGTCGTGATCAGATGTGTAAATGTGGGGCTGTCCTCTGTTCTTCCAGTCTGTTTCATTCTTGACTTGTCAGGCTATTAATAGTTACACATGTTCTCGTGGCAGTTCATTTTTAAGATCAATTAATTTTGGTATCTATCAATTTTGAAAATTTTCCTCCAGAAATGTTCAGATAAAGTTACTTTCACAGGCCTGATAGCTGAGGTCCACATTCCCACTTCTGCACAGAGGAGGGGAAGAAATCTCAGCAAGCATTTGGAGCCTCTGTTTTTACTCTGGCCTTCTCATACTGAACTCCCACTTAACTTAGTCTGAATAAAACCTGAGTGAAGAGCTCAAGACTTGGTCAGTAGTAAGTACTATTGTACTTACTTATTGTACTGTAGGCCTGATTTTATTCTGATGCTGGTGTAAATCAGGAGTAACTCTTGTGAGAGGAGAATCAGCCTCTGTGAGGTATTTTACTTATTTGTATTATGTTTGTCTATCCTAAACGTCTCTGAAAAATGTAAATACTTGAATAACAAAACCTGAAACACTATGGGGTTATATTCTGCCCTCAGTTACACTAATGTAAACTCAGAGTAGTTTATTGACTCCAGAGTTACTCTGGATCTATACAGATGTATCTGAGATCAGACTCTGATCAGTTTCTTTGGTTCTGATGAACAGTTTGGAAATTAACTGTATATCTACTAAAATAATTCCCCTGCCGCTCAGCTGCTAAATAGAGTATAGATGCTGTGTGCAATAATACATAGTATAGGAGAAAGTATACAGCACAGAAGAAAACATGGCATAGTTTAGATACAGGTAAAACAAACTGCAAAACTCAAAATCCATAGCATCTACAGTACAATATTTTACTAAATAAAAATGTCTGCTTTTTTATCCATCAGTGTAGGGCTTTTCTGTCAAGCTACTACAGAGATCACAATGTGGAACTGTCAAAACTCCTGCACAAATTGGGACAACCCCTGCCATCATGGCTGAGACAGGAACTACAGAAAGTGAGATAGCATTGAGAGGAAGCTTCTTGAAATCTCTCTTCCACACTTCAGTCATCTTACCTAAAGCCTTCAATAGCTACCAGAAGGCAGGTGTAAAATATACCTCTTCAAAAGAGAATAAAAGAATGAAGTTATTTCCATATGCTGGCATGTGGATGGTGAAAATGTTTGTGTCTCTTAGAACTCTGGAGGCCTGCAGGCTTTCTCTTTTCTGGGCCTGTGGAATTGTTGTAAACTACTGTGCGCACGTGTGGAAGTCAATAGCAACTGGTATAAGCTTTAAAAGCAAAGCTACACAACTGTCCAATTTCATAGTAAATATTTACACTTTTATATTCGAACTTAGGAGTGTTGTGTCTCATGTAAGTTTTGTAGCCCATTGTTTGCCTGCTCATGGTTTTTCATACTTTTTGATTATTATGATGTGTCTTATACAAAACAAAAAACAAAACTAAGAAAACCCTGTATAACATACAATGGCCAAATCTCCTGCCTTTGGAATCTGCTTACCAAATTTTGAACTTAAAATAAATGAACACAGTTGAGGAGTACAAACACATGTTGCATAGGTGTAAACAACAGGACAGAATATGTATTGTGAGCCAAATCCTGAAGCCACAGGTTAAAACACTGTAGCAAGAAATGATGTAAGAAATATGGCCCTGCTCTGTGAGGAGGAAACCATAGTGTGCTGTGGATCCCTGTCAAGTTCAGAATCTATGCTTTTAAATACTGCACCTCCATACAGTCTGCTGAAACAGCAACACAAAGGAATATAGACTATTCTGAACAGAGACTACTATATGTTTAAGAATAAATCTAATTAGATATATGAAGCACAAAGTTAAAAAAGAAATTTACATTGTAATAATCAGAGTGTTAAACTTATATGACTGTGAACCAAACCATAGCAATGCAATGAACAAATGACGTGAGTAGATCTTTCACACCTAGCTCCTGTGAGTTGCAAGTTATGGGGCCTAGATTCTGATCTCACACTGCTGTAAATGAAGAGTAACTCCAGTGAAATCAGTAGACTTATATCAGTGAAAAACTGGTGTGAGAACAGAAACAGACCTATATGAAGATTGCCTTAATTTACAATTTATCTTGTCCTGGTTTTTGGTGTGTTGAATTTTATGTATTTATTTGATGTGTGTTTCCCAAAACTCCTCTTATACTGACTGAAAAGTGGTGGCATCTCTCAATGCCTTCCAATTTAATACATGCAAGTTGCAAAAACATACTTCTTTCCCTAGGGAGATATATATTTTAAAAGTTTTGTAATAAAATAAATGAGTAAGTTAAATACAAATTAATACAGTGTGCAGTCATGATATAGAATTAGGCTCCAGTACTGCAAACACTTAAGTATATGTTTAAGTTTACACAGTGTGAGTACTCTCAGCTAAACAGCACGCCTACTTAAACGTGAGACCAGGGCATAATTATTAATGCTTCAAAAAAATAGGAAAGAGATCATTAAAAATATGAGCCAAATTTAGCCCTCATGTTACTCCACTGAAATATGGCTCAATGTGTTTTAAAAATGCATGACAGCTAATGAATAAATACCCAAAGTCAAAAAATGGGCATGGTAGGTGACCCCCTGCTCCCTATATATACTATTGTTCCAAATTTGATGCTTGGTTCTGTAACTATATTTGCTTTAAAATGGGCAGTTAAAAAGTACATCAAATGGTGGAAAGCTTTTCTATGTAGTGTTTGTCATAAACCATAAAATTTAATTTTTATAGTAATGGGACGGAAACCAGTTTATTGTTCACTAAAGAGAAAACAGATATTGAGATCCTTATTGTAATTCTAACTTGTATGTTTTTTTACTCATGGACTTTGTCTTTGTAATACATAATTTTGATAGGCCTATAAAGAAAAATATCTAGGCAAATTTGCTGTGTATAAAGATATACATTACTCAGCACATTATTGCATAAAGGAGTATGCATGGTTAACAACAAGGATCTAGTAGAGTAGACAATCTATAAGTTGAACATCATAATTATATATAGAAAGAATCAAAAAATCTTCACTTTCTGTCATGTGCTTTAGGTCCAAAATTTGACTTTTCTTCAAATTCTTTTAATTTAGTAAAAGATACCCTCCGGACTCTGAATATCTACAAAAGAAAAATCCTTTGCATGTGTAAAGAGTTGATGTGACCTGCAAATGTCTATATGGATTTGTAACAACTAAGATGTTAATGTTAATCATGATGGAAAACACCTACGGTGATGCTCTAGTAGCCCCACTGACTTCAATAGGGTCCTTTCATCCTTAGTGTACATCTGATGTACCATCACCAAAACATTAAAAAAAACAAACCACTATTTTGTAGGAACTGCACAAAGCTTGTGTTTTGTGCTCTGGTGCTACAGTTACTCTGCTCTCTTAAAAGCAGCAATTACATAAGCATTTTGGGGCCAGATCATGCTCCCAAGATTGCTATATATGGACGGGAACCTCTTTGCACAGATGTCAACCATCCTCTGTGCTTTAGGGATGGAGCTCACACACATTTATAGCACAGCCCTTTCTTTCTAGGACACCACAAAGGGCTCTCTGCATGGTCTAGTTCTGGGGGGAGGGGAGGAGGTAAGGAGTGGCCAGCATGAGGATTTGTGGCAGCCCCAGGTTGGATGGGGCTTGGGTGTGGACTGGAATATGCACATTACCTTTTTTTAGTCACAGATAACTTACACAGATAAGGTAATATATTCTAGAGCTGTAGACCCTGTTTTGCGGAGCCTCCTGATGGGATGTGGGAAGGTGCCTCTCTAAATGGAGACCCTTTGGCAGCCATGGCCAGGCAAATAGCTGGTAGTAAAGTTCCATTTCATCCCTATTATCAGGGAGCCTGGGGACTGTCAGGGGCACAGAGTATAGGATCTCCACATTGATTTCAGTGGGGGTTCTGCCTGAGCAAATACTATAAACAAAAGTATTTGGCCTTTTGTCCTCAGAATTGTGCATTGCACAGGGCCTGATCCTGAAATCCTTATTGTTCAAAACTCCTATTTTGACAATGCCTGAGAAAAGTCTGCAGGATCAAGCTCTTTAGATAGCATTAACTTCTTGTGCACTAGAAATATTATTATTATTGTGACACTTAAAAACAGTGGATAGTAAAGGCAAATTGATAGTGTTCTTTGAGTTTACAAAGGTATTTACTGCTCTGATTTGCAGATATATTTGGGGGTGAAATTTTTTGTATGAGCCCTAAAAGGGAATAAATGCACCTACCCATAATTTTTCCTCAGAAATATTCTGTTAAAATATGTTTTTACAATATTCAGCAAAAGCCTGTAAAGAAAAGTAAAAACAACATTTATTCAGGACCAGCCAAGTTATTTATGAACAAGGAGTCTCAGCAAGGCATGCAGACTCCAGACTTTATGTCAGTGGTTCTCAAACTTTTGTACTGGTGACCCCTTTCACACAACAAGCCTCTGAGTGCAACCCCCTTATAAATTAAAAACACTTTTTTATATATTTAACACCATTATAAATGCTGGAGGCAAAGTGGGGTTTGGAGTGGAGGCTGACAGCTCGCGATCCCCCACGTAAGAACCTTGTGACCCCCTGAGGGGTCCCGACGCCCAATTTGAGAACCCCTGCTTTATGTACAATAGCTGAAATCTGAAAATAATGGGATACACAAGTAAAGCTGAGCAAATAATTCATAAAAAAATATTTATTTGACCAAGTTTAGCTTATTTTAAGCTCATCACTTATCTATAAGCGGACTGCAGTTTCTTCAAATGCATTTTCATAAATATCCTACCAACTTTAATATTTTTTTAAATTTACTGATTGTGAAACATTTATTGCAAATATTTGATAGTCAGGCTTAGTTGATTAGTTGTGATTGGTCAGATAAGGCATGTGGTATGATTTCTGTTCCCTGGTTAGATGAGTGTGTAAGGAATTCCTACACAAATGCTTGTCTGTGTGGAGTTTAACTTGTTTTCTGCAAATACTCATGTATTTGACTTTGAAATTTGCTTTCCACAAACATCTGTGGTAGTAAAATTCAATGCATGATTGTTTGCAGAAAGTGAACATAAAGGGGCATAAATTTAGGTGATGTAAATTCATTTGACTGTTTCAATAAACATTCATGAAAGTGCTACAGTATTTTCCCAGCTCCACATTTGAGAAAAGAATGAGTTTAACTGATTTGCAGGCTAGCTTGTACAGAATACCCTTTTTCTTTGCTTAAAAATGTGAAACTTCCTCAGGAAGAAATTAAATAGATATTTCAGTGTTTATAGACGTAATATTCTTGTCATTCACATTGAATGAAAATTTCTGGAAACATTTTTCTCAAAGTTTTTTAAAATTAAAAAAACTGAATATTATTCTGATAGTGGCATGATATCTGATGTGCAACAATAAACTCTGATAAGAAAATGTACTGCCATGTAGTAGTGATTTTATGTTCACAAAAGTTCTCTTCTTCCAGTTTTTTGGCAGCTATTGTACCTTGACTTTGAGATACGATACAGTTCAGAAGCACAGTAGTTGCATGAAAGATTTTCCAAAAGAAAAATATTGCTTATTCTGTCAGTATGTGGATATTACTGCACTGTGCAGCTGCCTTTTTACTGCCTTTGCTTGTTGATTACTTTTTATATAGCTTGTGCCAGAAGCTGCAAGTGTGCTACAGTGACATTTTCAGATCTTTATATACAGAGCAAGAGAGCTCTATTAAAAGTATTTGCCCCTAGGTGAGGTTTGGAGGAACACTGTTCTCTAGTTGAGACATTCCAACAGCCTTGGTAGACAGGAGGGAGCGTTAGAAAAATCCATAAAAATTACTATAAAATGAATATTACCAAAGAAAAATTCTGTACTATCAACTACTTGAGGTCAGAAAAGCACTCTATATGTGATGGTACCTGGCCAAACAGAAGCTTATAGTGTTGTCTTGGGGCGACACAGAAAATATCAACATGATACAGTCTGCTCATTATGGGGAAGTGATGTAACCTACTATAAAATGTTTGGGTTTCTTTTAAATTAACTACAATTACTTTAATTGGATAATAAAAAAAACAGTAAAGTTACAACACAAATGTACTAAGTTAGCACAATCAGAGCATTTTACTTACAAGCAGCATCCGGCCATTCTTAGGGCTTGTCTATACTTACGCGCTGGTTCGGCAGCAGGCAATCGAACTTCTGGGTTCAATTTATCGCGTCTTGTCTGGACGCGATAAATTGAACCCAGAAGTGCTCCCCGTCGACTCCGGTAATCCTGCTCGCCGCGAGGAGTACGCGGAGTCGACGGGGGAGCCTGCCTGCTGCGTCTGGACCGCGGTAAGTTCGAACTAAGGTACGTCGACTTCAGCTACGTTATTCACGTAGCTGAAGTTGCGTACCTTAGTTCGAACTGGGGGGTTAGTGTAGACCAGGCCTTAGACTCAAGTCACCAACTCAGCTAACGCTGCCATTTGACAGATCTTTCAATTTTGCCAGTCCAGAATGTTCCAGACCTGAAAGGTGCATCAAA